CAAATTCACACCCAGATACAAACAGCCTAGCCACCATTTCCAGGACTGCTGCTTCAAGAGAGTACATTAATACAAAATGTTGTTTTTTAGCAGGTAAGATGGGTCAGTTTCTACCAATGATCTAAGCCAGCATTTCTCAGAGTCTCCAAGACTTCAACTCCCAGATTTCCCCAGCTGATAAGCAGGACACCAAAGTTCACAAATCCTGAAATTGCTGGGGTTGAGAAACGCTAATGTAAAGCAGAGGCCTCAACCTTGGCAACTTGAAGACTTGTGGACTTCAACTGCCAGAACTCTTAAGAATTAAAGTCTACAAGTTTTAAAGTTGCCAAGGTTGGAGGCCCCTAAATGACCAATTTCTGCTCTGCTCCCATTTCTTCCCCCTAGGAATGTAACCCACAGGGTGAGGATTGGACTGGAAGCAAAGGAGAGCTCAGAAACAATGAAAAATGCCAAGGCCAGGAGAACCTGGGGTTGCCCAACATTTCAGCTGCCACACGGGAAACAGCCTGACATTTATCCCAGCATTAGAGAGGTGACAGAAGCTTAAAGAGGGGTCTAAGCCCCCAGCACAATGCCGATCTTGTGTTTTGGTCTATCTAACTGCTTCATCTTTGCATCTGCTCAACATTTTTTAAAATTATTACTCAACAGCATTGGCACAAGACATCTGGATACTTGAGGTGGATCCATTGGGCTGTGTTCCTCACACAAGCCCCCCTGACTCAATGAGAGCTGAGCTCACTCGCTTGGGAGTTCAAAACCCTTGCTTTGTGTGCCTGAACCAGCTCTGTGCTCCAAAGTATGTGGTGCAAGTCTTCTCCAGGAGGGAATGACCAAGAAACCTCTTCTTTGAAGGACTCTGTGTAAACAACGGGTAAATAAAGTATACACAATTGCTAGCAATTTGTCAACGAAATAAATTCATCACATGACACTGTCATGACAATCATATATATATATATATATATATATCACTCCCACCCAGGAAGTCAGGTAGTTATTATCCTAGGTGGAAATGTCACTTGTTGGATATTGGGTTTTTTTCCTTTTTTTTAAAGTTTACGGAAAGAAAAATACTGCAATGTTCATGTACAAAGTTGTCACATTGAAAGTCAGTATTAAACAGTGTAAAACCAACTGTAAATTTAAAAACCTTTTTTCCCCTGATACAGATTATACTGATCAATACGTTTTTGTTATCCATGGATAAAATGAGCAATTAAATATAAATTTAAGAGGCATCATTTTTATAAAACACATTTAAACATCTTTTTTTCTTCAAAATACTTAATTTAACAAAAAAGTCATGATACTTTACTTTAAAAACAAAGTTTTTCAAATTATTTTGTTCTGAATATTTTGTCTTTACATCTTCAACGTGACATAGTGTTCCTTAATATTTCTTTTAATTCAAATGAAATAAATTTCCCCTTCCCTTAGATATTTCTCTGTACACAACATTCTCTCACTCTGACGTCTGAAAGCCAGATAGCTATGCACAAAGACACAATTCAACGTGTCTTGCTTTTACTTTTTTTCAGCAAAAATACATAGACGCATCCCCCCCATCCCCATCCCCCGCTCCCACCTCCCACCCCTCATTCCAAGGAATACCCACTGATTTCAGGCTCTCTGCTAAGGAAACAGATTTAGGCGTTCCTGTTCTTGATGCTCACATTTTACTCAGGACACAGCACTTAAAAGCCCACCGAGAAGCAGCTCAAATCCATGTTGGTTTTTATCAACCAACAGATGAGAAGATGCAGGGAAAACAGTCCCTTCCCTGGCTAAGATTCCTGCTGCCATTGCCACTTTCCACTTCCAGCCACCGACTCTGCAATTCAGCTACCAACTCTTCCCCAAAAGAGCTTAATTTAAAATAATAAATCAATCAAACCAAGCTTCTGAGGATTTTTTTTTGTTCCTACAGCTGCAGAAATGCTGAACCTCCTGGGAATCTGGAATCTCAGCGGCTTCAACATGATCACCACGGAGCCCTTCCAAATCTTATTTGGAAAGTGCCACGGCAGATGGACAGGGCCACTTCCTGGCTACCTTCCTAGGATAAATAGGATGCCTTCTTACAGTAAAACCAGCTATGTCACAATTGCATCGTCTAGCAAATCAGATTAAATCACTATCCATGTTGCACATCCCAAGCATTTCACTCGGCTCGCAGTCCTGCCGTCGCAGCTACTACAACTGCATTAGTTAAGATTAAGCGACCCTTTCTAGGCATCAGCCCTGCAGCCTCAGGAAAGCAAGGCCTTGTGTTTTTTTTAAGAGGAGGAATCAATCGGATGGGAGTTTCTTCCGTCCTTCCTTGCTTCTGTGTGATGTACAAATAGGCACTCAAGGTTATCATTACATCGGATTGGAATCCGATAAACAAAGGTTTGCACTGGGCCAGAGTTGTTATACAGCAGTGCTCAAAATAAACGTCTCACCAGTGGTAGCTGCCTGTTTTAATTACTAGGAGCTTTTACTCCTGGGTAAGCTGGTGGAAACAAATCTGCAAAGGTGGAAGATGGGACCAGGGTGATTTGGGGTTTGTTTTAGCAAAGTATCAAAGCAGAAGACCAAAAAAAGAAAGAAAGAAAAGAGAGAGACAGAGGGAGGGAGGGAGGGAGGGAGGGAGG